GGCTAGCATGTCTTGAATTGGCGTAACTTCGGTTTGATACTTTTTAGTGATGCTTGGTGGTGTCGGAGGCTGGAGCCCATTCAGAATACTGATGAGTGTCTGTGTCGAGTCCGCACATGTTTCCAAGATCAAAAGATCATCTCTCAATTCCACATCTAGAGACTTAGTCCCGTCTTCGTCGAGGTTCATGACCTTTACAACCGCCATTGCGGAGGAAATGGAAGAAACAGGAACAAAGCCCTGGTTAATGTATCCCTGGACCTGTTTGCTCTGGGGAGAAGCCGAGGCACGCTGGTGTAGATTTTCTGCGGTTCCAACGTTGGCCACGTCGTCTATGATCATAATGGATGCCTTCCCAATCTCTAGATTAGCATCTGAGGATTCATCGGTGTGGAGAGCACCGCTGAATTTCGCATTCGTGAGCACTATGAGCCCTTTAGACGGCGAATTGCGCGGATTCAGACCTAGAACAGAGTCCATAAACACTACCGCAAGTTTGGTTGGCTTTGATGCTCGCGGGATGTTTGGTCGCGGCTGATAGAAGACTGAATCTTCCATTGTCTGGGGCGAGTGCTCTGCAAGATTGGCTATAGAACTCGCCATCTCGCTAGCTAGGTCGCGACCTGTGGTATTTTGACCTAGTCCAAGGAAGGCCATGATCGATGGGATCGTATATTCAACTCTAAGATGGTGCAGTTTGACTTTGAAAGTGGGGTCCATCTCATCAGGAATGAATCGAGCCATGAGAACGGGCGGCTGAGAATCGTCCACAATTTGATCGCTGCCGGGTACTAAGGATTCGCCGACCAGCTCTTCGTGGTTGTTTCGAAGAACTTTGATGGTACCAACCTGGGTCGCAGTGAGTGAGGGCATACTGATCCAGGCAACCTCGGCATCCGTGAGATATGCGTTCAAGTCGCCGATCTCTCCACCAACGTGGACTTGCGCTTCAAATTCGCGAATCATAGTTAGAGTCAGAATACCGGGACGGTCATCTTCAGGCAGATATTTTGTGACGTTGGACAGTCGTCCCATTTCCTGTCCAAGAGATGAGAGTGAGGCGAGGTCCTCGATATTTGAAATCGTCGCCTTCATGCGCGTAACTGCTAGACGAAGAACAGAGCCCTGTTTTCGCTGTCGCAAGAGTGTGTCGAGCAAAATGTCGTCGTCATCGTCGTACTTATTTTTGGACGGAGTGATCAAGGTCAAAAGGCGGCCAAGATCGTTCTCCTTCGGTGCTGACAAGAACTCAACCCTGATGCCATCCAAAATGACATTTGCAGGAGTATCACGACTCCCATCAAATCGAATAGGCCCTCTTAGCTCAGCCCGATCAATTGCAAGTCCGAGGAGTTCGAACCTGCTTACAATCTTGACTGCTGTCGTGCTAAGCTTCAGGCAATGCGTCTCTCCGACAACTTCCAGGACAATTCCACCGAGCCGAGCGTTGACTTTCCACGGGGCAGATGCAGACTCGGCCTTCTGAGGAGCGAGCCCAGGCGTTTCGAAGTGCACACCTTTTGCACGCTTTTTTGGAGACTTATGCGCTGCTTTCATTGTAGGGGTTGATGAAATTGAGCTTCCGAGTTCCAAGATCGTACTCAAACCGCCCATCCAGCCCAAGACTTCCTCCAAATTCTGAATATTCATGTTAATATGGAGTGGAAGGGTCGACAAGTCAACTCGTGTAGCGTCTGCAGATTTGGTTAAAGAGAGTGAGATATCTGCCTGAGAGGGTGTCATAATATCGCGAGTGGACTCGCGCATTTTCAAAGACTCGTCGAAGGACACCAGGTTCTGAGAGGCAAATCCAAAAGCGAACTTTCCAACATTGAGTTTCAGGCTCATTTTTTGATCGGTTGCTGATGCATTGATTCTCAAGCCAGATGCCGTAAGTTGAAGGACGATATCTTCCATTGACGGATATGAAGGTGGTAGAAAGGAGCCGGAATTATGAGGATAAGGATATCCCGCTACGTGCTCTATAAACTTGACCGAGAATTCACGTACTTGTAGATCCAGGACGGGTCTCATAGCAGGCTGATTCTGGGAAGGTTGTTTGGAGGGTTGGCTGTTATCCGAACCTGCATCGCTCATACTCGATAGCCGTTGCAATGCTTTTATAACAAGCCACCCCGTTGCAATGTCAAAGTTCGAAGTCACTGAAAATACTTCGACTTGTAGCTCGAAGAGTCGCTCCATTGCAGGGTCAGCATGCTGTTGGCCAGAGCGATCTGTTTCGGAAGACACGCGTGTTTCGCTTGGGATTCGCGGAGATCGAGCGGATGTTGAAATTCTTGAGGACAAAAGGCTTTCATCGAGGAGAGGGCCGCGGGAGCTACTAGCCAGATCTTTCAAGTCACTATCCGTCCGCTCCATAGACATCTTGGATGGTACAGGACTTGTTTTCTCTAGGCTTGCAACGGTTGGTAGCCAGATTGAGATTTTGTCGACGTTGAAAACAGGCTTTCTCATTTCGCCGTTCTTGTTCAGGGTAGGATATGTAGTCGAATCTACATTTTCCACATTTGGATATTGAGACTCTGCTCGGCTATCGGCTGGAGTCTGTTGCTCAATAAAATATGACCCAGACGACATAGTTTGCTTCGGCGTGGAAGCGATAGCTTCGTCCTGAACCTCTGGGATCGGTACATTGATCTCCGTTGGGGGGTGGGTTTCGCTGCGTCTGCTCGTTTCAAGGTCCGACACTCGGCCAGGTCCAAATGAGTCCCATGCGCCCGGCATGTTCGGCATGAAGCTTTCCTCGCCACCTTGACTTATGGCGCTCATATACAGACTTTGCGCCTCATCATGAGAAAAGAACTTGGATTCGGTGAGTTCGGCGCCAGGGGTCGGTTCTTCGGAGGCTGTATTGTCAGAGTTTGACCGGGATAACGAGTGTTGAAAGGCTTCTGAGGAGTAAGAAGGTTGGTGTGCCAAATTGTCCTCTTGTACATCGTCGTGATGGCGAAACAGCGTGTTCTCATTGGATTCGATGCCAAAACGACTAATGGTTTGTGAATCGTAAGCCTGAGACCCTTCCAAATTTCCTCGTAGAGATGCCGTTGCGATTTCCCGGCGCTCAGTATCTCCGGAGCTTGCTGCTTGGTCGTCCACTACCGGTGATGGAAGTCTTGGGGAATGATCATTTCCCTCGGTTTCTGCCACATGTTGTTCTTCAATATACGCACCCAGAGGTGGTTCATCATCGAAATCGTCGGATTGAGTATCAATTACGGAATCCAAATACCCCGGATTGTCGTTGAATGGATCGTCTCCAAAAGTCTGAGAGTCATCAAGACTGCGATCGTATCCTCCTTCCTGATCCGAGTCTGCATCCGAGAACCGGCCATCCTGGGTCAAGCCCGATGCCTCCATTTCGTGTCTGGATGTCTCCATTTCGTGTCTGGATGCCTCTATTTCGTGCCCTGATTCCTCTATCCGATGCCCTAGATCACCCCCTCCGCGATAATATCCAAGAGAGGGCTCAAAGATCGTTGACCGCGTCATGGCGAGCCCGGGGTCGGAAACGGAGTTGTCCAATGAAGGTGGCGACGGGGCTCTACTGGATGAGTGGCTGGCCTTTGACTGCATGGTAGTAGTTGGAGATGCGGGGGTTGTGAATCGTGAGTAGTTTGAAAAGACACCTGGGTCCGAGACGAGCCCAATATTAATGTCAGTGAGGGAAAGTAGTCTTTTGCCGTCACGGAATAGGGCCGACTCAGTTGAACCAGTAGCAGATCCCGGGGCCCCATGGAGATCTACCTGTCCCACCGTCAACAAGGCCGAGACAAGATCCGGCTTGTCTTCGGGATGTCTCTTGGAAGGTCCGTCCTGCTTCAACTCCATGTCTACTCGCACGACGATGTCCCTGATGCTAACTTGTAACCGCTCCATCACACCATTAAGGAACCCCGCAACAAAACTCGGTAGAGATGTTTCTTCATTCCCAAGACCTAATTCCTCCTCTTCATCGTCTTCACCGAAAGAGGACCCATGCTGAAAGACATGGGATTGTGACGAGATGGCGGCTTCCAGCTCCTCTTTCTCCTCTCTTGGCTCGGACTCAAGGAATGATTCAGCGAGGTTGGATGGCGTAGGCAGAAACTGCTTTTCCCCCACAGAATGCCCTTTTGAGACTGGGATTGCCTGCGGTTTTCTATTTCCATGTTTTTCTTGGGGCGGTTCATTGGATATTAAACGAAGGTGTAGATCGATACCGCTCGCTTCAAGGCCGATACCGCTGTTGATCAGATCGGCCGGGATGGTGATTCGAAGGGACTGGATCCGAGCGTTGAGGAGTTCGCAAGTTGGCGGAAGCTGTAAGTAGCTCGCGAGTTTCTATTGAAAATAACGTGGATGTTAGAGATCCGGTCCAAGATATCTCGGGAATAATGCCCCACCCCGTTAGGTCTGGGTTGCACGTCTTGCTCACCTCCAACTTCAAACCAACATCTCGTAGCTCCACTGTACTTCGTTGACCCCAAGTAATACCCAAGTTATCCGGATCTAGAGCATCTGTGTCGAACAGGCCCAGGCGGGAGAGAGCGTATTTGAGCAGTCGCTTCTGAAAGAACGACGGGAGGAGGTACGATGCCATCGCGAAACGCCCTAGGGGGGCGGGTATGGTCATGCACGAACGGAATTCATCGAAGCTCGAACAGTCCAACCTAACGCGAAGAGCAAAGCAAATGGGAAAGGCAAAGGGAGGGAGGGGGTGGGTTGTAGGATTTGAAGATGGAGGAGAATATGACGTGCGGAGGAGAGCACCTGATAAAGAGCGGGCTTATCGTCAGGCGGCGGCCCAACGCAGCGCAGCTGTCCCAGTTGGACCAAGCGCGTGGTTTGCTTCCGCTCCACCCATTTCCCCTTCCCCGCGACTTAATTTTGAGATCAGGTCAAAATAATGTTGAATTTTTGTGCCTATATTGTATCTGGAGGTACGAGTATCTGGAGTATTTCGTACTCCCTGTCCCCACCGCACCATTATCTTTAATCGTTTAATCAGAATCATCGAACTCCGCGAATTCCAACACTACCCACTCGCAGAACTTCTCGAAATCCGAACACCATTCCCGCAACCTGGTTCCCTTGAGTCCTTGTCCCAATATACCCTCCGTTACCTCTGATTTCCATTCAGCGGTTGATTGATCTTCAAAACAGCTCCATCGGAGGGAATTTTGAACCATCATCGCCAGACCGGCCAGATCGACATTTTGCAATCCCTGAAGGGACTGCCAGAAATCATGTGTGAGCCCATTCCTCCCATGTCCCAATATAGCCGGATCGTCGTTACAGAGAGAAACCGGAACACCACGGGACAATAAAGCTGGCAGTGGATGAGTCTTGATGGAGCTGGCCAGTCGGAGAATTTCATTGGAGATCGGGCAGCATTCTACCATAATCTTCTTCTCCTTCACCAGATCGATCAGCAGCGGGTGCTTGTACAGAGAAAATCCATGGCCGATCCGTCGGGTGCCGAGTAAGATGGCGTCGAACAAATTATGATCCGTCGCATCTCCGTCCCCCAAACATTCACCGGCATGGAAGAAGAATGGGAGATCAACCTCCTCTTCGGCACATTGTTTGCGGAACCAGAATAGCAGCGGGATGAGGTCAACCAAGGGTCTCCCTAAATCCTCCTGCCCAACCAGATCAAATCCACAGATCAAGTCCGGGAAGTTCTGCTTCGTCGTAATGCATTTTTTCATATTGTCGACAATCATTTCGTTGGAGAACGATCGAATAGTCGTCCAGATGATTCGGGCCTCATAGAAATGTTTGCCCTCGTCGGTCGACTTGAAGCTCTCTATCTCTTCCTCCAAGACCCGGCAGAACTCATCGTAGCTTTCTTCCGGTTTGTCACTACCTTCCCTCCGATACTCGAAAACAAAGGCAATACGGAACTCAACATATCGAATCCCATCTGCTGCAAGCTGTGTCATCATGCGGCGGAAGCATGCTCGGAAGATTGGCTCATAGTTCAGTATGGAGTTAATTACTGGGAAGGTCCGTGTGAAAATGGACCAGATAGCGTCGACTCCATGATAATGATTGTATGAGTGTTCGGGTGTTAACATGCACCGATTGCGTATCATGTCCCGGAAGCCAGCCTCTCCGCCTTGTGGGAAAGAGGAGGCAGCCTTTTGCACAGGAACCAAGGATGAGGTCTCGTAGGCCTCGGTCCAGATACTAGGGGTAGCATCGGATGCGGATAGCGGCTGTGAGGAAAATTGGAACTTAATTGGGACCTCCTCGTAGTCCTTCTTAGTAAGAAGGGGTTTCTCTGATTTGAAGTGCATGCCCGGCGTGGAGAAAGCCTGGTCGATCAAAAAGTCGATATCGAACATGGCATCCATGTGGGCATGTAGCAGTGAACCCTTGGGCATCCTTTCCACAATCTTCCACAGCTTGGTCTTCTCCATGCGACCCTTAGCATGATGAAACATAACCCCAGGGTAGAGAATCTCGTCCGATTGATGGGCCGTTGCCTCGTCTAGGCCGGTGGTCCACACCTCGTCCTGCTCCTGGGCCCTAATCTGAGAGACAATTTTGCAAGCCCGGGCAGCGATGGGCGAGAGCGTCTTGCGAAAGGTGGCATCTAAAATGATTTAGAAGGATTCAAGTTGTTGATTCATGATGTTGTGCTACTCTTACCATGACGTCTCTTCTGCTCCTCGGCGATCAAGGCTTCGCGGCCGTTCAAGTACTGCTGGATGAAGGGATCCTCGACCTGGGGGATCCCCTCCTCTAGCTCCCATTCAATATTTTTGTCTCCCATGGCTCGATGAAGTGAGAGAAAGAAGAATATTCACAGGATGTCAATAGAGAGTGCTTTCGAGTTTGGATCGTCAAGTTCGGGTCGATCTGCCCCGCTTTGCCTACCGCTTCCGGGGGAGTTCAGTTCTGCACGCGTTCAAGTTGGTATTTATTGGCTTCAATACGATATAGTACTATTTGTACTATAAAGAGTGGGGCATTTGGTTTCATGGAGGGCCAAAGACTTACACCTAACATAGTAACAATATCTCCCCTATCAACTGTGTAAATTCTATGAATATACCCTAACACTATGCGTACTCACTACCATATTTCGGTATCACGGTGGCTCTGTCCCTCTCCGCAGCATCCACCACTGTCCAGGGACCACTTTGCCGCCTCTAGCCACTCGAGGATCGTGCGCCGATTGGGTCGAGCGCCAAGACTCTTTTATCCAAATGAGTCCGTTCGATGTGACGATGGCAGGCAAAGGTAAGCACTTAGCCTGCCAAGACCAGCCCCTATCCAAAGTTACGAGGCGGAGGTCGCCGTAGGAATTGAGGGGAGATAGCCCTGAGAAAGGCAAAATTTGAAATAATTGCTGATTCAAAGGAAGGAGAATAATCACTGGACAGTTGGGAGGAATATTTAAGGTCAGGCTTTCTAAAGTTCAAGTTGGTGGTGCGGTGGACCCCCAGTCGGAGCGCCACCGAGATTTCCACCGAGATTTCCACTGTGTACAATCGAGGGAACCAAATTTGCAGAGTAATCGTAGTCCTGTAGATCGTCAAGGTGCGTAACTACTCCGTACATTCGCAGGAGACCCTCTTCTGTATGGAGGATACCCGATCTCCGCGTGGAGAACCACAGATGCGTTCACAACGGCCTCCTGGTTTCCCCATAGGGCAGACTCCAGGCACGTTGGATTTCTAGAAATCCCAGCCGAAGAAAAAAAGGCAAAGCCCACGCGACCTCTCAGAAGGACCGCTAAATTCAGGCGCCCCCCACTTGCCGTTCACCAGTGCGGAGATTCGACCCTCCTGGGAAGAAGATCACCAGCCAACCACCGTCGCCCTGGTGGCAAGATATCGCCTGAAAAGTGTTAGTTCTCCGAGATAGTGGTGCAACGACGCTATCACTTTACTTAAAATGGGGTCCCACAGGTCTTTGGTTACATGCGTGCCCCTCATAACTGAGACGGGAGCTCCGTCGGGGAGGCCGTCACTGGTCCATGGCTCTGATAGACTCTCAATGGACGTGAGGCCCAGGACCACCAGCCGAGGGCTACTAAACCCTGTTTGATCGTGGTCCGTAGCTCTTTATCTCACGGTTTTTTATTCTGTCTCTTCCCCGCACAGAAATCCTGGCTTTTGCCGTTGATAAACGAACCAGGCCCCCCAATCGCCATGCGAGGAATGCTTAGTACCAAGCCAGCCACAATGGACCTTGCCTCTGCTCTCTGATAACCAGACCGTCTATAATACTTTGAATCTTGCCGCCCCTCTCGACCCCTGACCCAACCTGATTCAACTCAGATATTCCCGGGTAGGCGCGTTTGATTCCAAGGTTCAAAGCTTGTTCCCAGTGACAACCCCGATCTCATCGACTTCGTGAAACACAAGGGATGCCTAGGTGATACGTGTGAAATATAGAGATAACCTTAACCCTAAAGACTTATCTCCCCAAACAACACTACGAGACTCGACAAGACCCGTTTTTCCCCCCCATTCGCAATCACCTCCGCGAAAAATGCCAGACAACGCTACTCGGGACATGGAGTCCCAGCCATCGCCTGGCATAGATCCCGCTCTGCAGCCGGAGCACCAGCATCACCATACGCACCACCACCACACCACATTTGCCGAGAAAGGCCACGAGGACGAAGTCGTCTATTCCAAGGAAACAGCGGGGTTTGAGAAAGGAATTGTCCCTGAGCCGACCCCCCTAGATCACGCCAGTAAAAGCCAGAGCCAAAGCACAGGAGATGAGGAAACGGGAATTAGTGCTGAGCCGGCCGCACGCCCATGGCATCGCCGCTTGACAAAGCATTGGCGACATGGTATGCATCTTGTGATTTGGCTACTTTTCACCGGGTGAGTTGATAAACTTTATAACAGGGCATCTATCAAGCCTTCTTCCCCCCATATGAAATGAAATCTTCGAGACTCATGCTGTTCGGTCTAGATGGTGGATCGCGGGTCTGATTCTGCACCGATATGACCGGGGATGGTTGATTCCATTCTTGCTCTATCTGGCTATTACACTGCGGATTATTTTCTTCTATATTCCTATCAGCATCATCACAAAGCCTATGTACTTTGTCTGGAACCACACTGCGCCGCCATTTGTTAATCTCATCCCTGAGAAGTTGAGAACACCCGCCGCCGCCCTTCTATGCATTGGTGTCATGTTGATCGGCTCTTTTGCCTCGCCCGAGAGTGCAGACAACACTCGCGCAAATCGTGCAGTTAGTCTCTTCGGTCTGGCAGTCTTCCTCTTCGTACTGTGGGCTACATCACGCAACCGCAGCAAGATCATCTGGCATACGGTTATTGTCGGCATGTTGACCCAGTTCATCATTGCACTTTTTGTGCTCCGCTCTGGCGCCGGCTATGATATCTTCAACTTTATTTCTACTCTTGCTCGTGAACTGCTTGGGTTCGCCACCGATGGTGTGGTCTTCCTAACCCAGCAGGAATTCATTGATATGCAACAATACGTTGAACCGGACACTAGTCCCAAAACATGGGCAGCTCTGGCACCCGGCCACTGGTTCCTGATTGGCGTCGTCCCCGCCATCCTCTTCTTCGTCTCCATTGTCCAGCTCCTATATTATAGCGGCATCTTGCAATGGTTTATCGGGAAGTTCGCCACCTTTTTCTTCTGGAGTCTTCGTGTCTCCGGCGCCGAGGCTGTTGTCGCTGCGGCATCTCCCTTTATTGGACAGGGTGAATCGGCAATGCTTATTCGGCCATTCGTCGCTCATCTCACAATGGCTGAGCTGCACCAGGTCATGTGTTCTGGCTTTGCTACCATTGCGGGAAGTGTCCTGATTGCCTATATCTCAATGGGTGTCAACCCACAGGCTTTAGTCTCGGCATGTGTTATGAGTATCCCGGCCTCGCTGGCCTGCTCGAAGCTTCGCTGGCCCGAGGAGGAAGAGAGCTTGACAGCTGGTCGTGTGGTTGTGCCCGATAACGAAGAGCACAAATCGGCCAATGCGCTGCACGCCTTTGCAACGGGGGCCTGGCTCGGTCTCAAGATTGCAGCTATGATTGCCTCCACGCTGCTTTGCATCATCTCGCTGATCGCTCTCGTTGACGGCCTTCTTGGTTGGTGGGGCAAATACTTGAATATCAACGAGCCCCCCTTGAGTCTCCACATGATTGTTGGCTACATTTGCTACCCCATCGCTTTCTTGCTTGGAGTTTCTCGCGACGGGGATTTGCTCAAGGTCGGCCAGTTGATTGGTCTCAAGCTCATTTCCGTACGTTTCTTCCCTTTCCCCTTGTGAATCTCTTCTTTGGAACAAAAGGATCATCTAACTAACCTCACTGTTAATAGAACGAGTTCGTAGCATACAACCAACTTCAGAACTCAGCTAATTACGCCGATCTATCCGATCGTTCCCGTCTCATCGCAACTTATGCGCTCTGCGGTTTCGCTAATATCGGTTCGCTGGGTAACCAAATTGGAGTGCTTGCTCAGATCTCGCCCGGGCGTAGCGCCGATGTATCGCGTGTCGCTGTTAGTGCCATGATCACCGGTGCTATCAGTACTTTTACCAGTGCTACTGTCGCTGGACTGCTTATTACCGATGAGAAGCAGTACTTTAGTTCGGCTTGATCGATCTCTATATTTTGAATAGTGCTTACTCCAGTGGAAGACCCAATCCTCCCTTGGCTTCTTATACTTGCAGAAGCATGTGGAGAAAAGTATCAAATGCATTCTCTTGAAACATCTTGCATATTTGAATCACCATCCCACGCGTAACTCGTACCTATACAGGTATGAAACAGCATGCGGGAGGGTTCTGGATGATACCTCTGGTTCATCAGTAGGTACCTACTCGAGTAGCTAATAGGTCCCCAATGCCCATTGTAGTGGATTGAATAACCTGCGCATGGGTTGTGAAACGAAGGATACGCGCCTATACTCGAATTTGTGCAACGAAGATAAAATGGCGAGGAAGAAAAGAGGGATGAATTAGGAGAATCAAAAAAAAAGAAAAACGTGAGAACCCAAACTCCAGCCTATGGTACCAGGCCACTATGCATTCGTGCCACCTATTCCCGGCGCAAGGACAAAAGCGAGGCAGGGTATATCCGGTGGTCCGACCGACGCCAATGCGCAATGAAAGGTATGAAAACCGACGATCTACTCGTCATCCAAATCGAGGTGTCGGGCCAAGACTTGACGCTTGAACTCTTCCTGGTCATTGTCCCACAGCTCGGCGGCTTGGGCGTTCAATGGGCTTGCACTGTTGAGATGTTAGCTCAAGTGTTGCTGTGAGAATCGACTATAATGCCTTCACTTACTTGTTCGGCTCGCCGAGAAGAGACTGCAAGCTGAGTAGTACAGTCTGCACATTGTATACCGCGCTCCATTTGTCCTTGAGAATATCCAAGCAGATGCGGCCCGAGAAGTCGACATTTGGGTGGTAGATGGGAGTTTTGAAAAGGACGGTGGGAGCGGAGTAGGGATAGGTATTAGGGAAGCTAAACGAAAGCTTCAGGTTCAAGTTCTCGTAAGGAGTCTCGGTCGGGCCCGTGATGGTCGCAGTCCACGAGAGGAGGTTACCATCACCGTCGGGGAAGGCGGAGATGCCGGGGGAGGGCGAAAGCATCAGCTGCATCAGTTCAGCTTGCAAACTAAACGTCGGCATGAAGCGTTAGCATTGGTCGGAATCTGGAGGTGATTGTTTTCCTCGAATCGGTAGCCAACTAACCGCTTAGTGACGCTCTGCGTCTCTGTCCGCTGGCCGGAGTTGTTCAGCTTGGTAGCTTCCAGGGCGTCGGGCGC